CTCAACCAAATGCTCCGAATAAAGACGTGACCAGGGAAGGAATTCTCGTTTTTAGTGGCGTTCATTCCTGCTGGTCAGGATGCGCATCGCAGACGAGAACACCAGTGTTTGCAAAATGAAGGCGACCATAGGCCAATGCAGACGGTGACGTTGTAGAAGAAAGGATATTAACATCTCTCTCTTGCTGTGGTGAGATTGTAGAATACAGGATATTGACATCCCCCTCTTTCTGTGATGAGATTGTAGAAGACAGGATATTGACATCTCCCTCTTGCTGTGATGAGGTTGTAGAAGAAAGGATATTAACATCTCTCTCTTGCTGTCTTCTGAGGTATGGACTCTATTTACATGCACCCTGCTTTTTCCTCAGACCTGGGAAAACTAGCTTCAGCAAGTGATGGTTCCTTTTGCTGTGAACACAAACTGAGAAGATCCCTCACAGTTCCTTTGGGAACAAAGCTTCTTCTAGTTGTTTTAATTTGTCTCATGTCGTTTGGAACCTTCTAGAAATGATTCTATTATCTTCCCATTTTCAAAAATGTTTACCTCTAACAATTGACACCATTTTTGGTCATTTTTCAGTTTCATTGTCTGTACATGTAAGAAATAATTTTATATAATTTAATTAAAACTCATACAAGTATAAAAAATCATGAGTCTATATATTTATGTATTAGACAAATTTGATCATATTTTAGTATGATGTCACTCATTAAATATGTAATTTTGTCAGAAAATATTGGACCCAATATTTAAGTTTTTTTCCTTCTAATTTGCACTGCATTAACCATTCTATCTTACATGGAGCCATGATGGAAATAATTGTTCAACTTTCAACTCTGTTTTAATCATATTTAAGGAATGTATGGATGTATCCAGAAATGCCTAGAGGAAGGATGGGGTGAGAGAGGAGTAGCAGATTATAGGCCTTTATTTACTCGCTTAAAAACTTTTCTTCTGTGCACTTCAAACCAATGCAGACTTTCAAAGTAGAGCTTAATCTTGATTAAACTTAATTAAGCCATCTCTTTAGTTATTCCTTGAAAGGCTACGAAGTAAACAAGAGACAACAATGATTTGGATTTGGGTGCTAGCAAATCCAAACATGAAACGTGGAGAGTTACCTGAGTCACTAGGGAGGAAATGTCAGGACTGAGCTGAGGGACTATTGGGTATGGTAAGTGATAAATGCCAGTTATGACTGAATTCTCAGTGCTGTGAGAACTAGGTGGTGGGATGTTTCAGAGACCAGAAACAATCTGGGTCAGGGATGGTTGGAAGGAGGGAAAACGTTTGTTCAGTCTTAGACTGTTAAACTTTGGAGTTGTGGAACAGCAAGCGGTGGGGTCAGTTGAATGCCAAGTTTTAAACACAGAGACGTCTAAGACATAAATATATAGTCAGGAATCATCAGGATGCAGACAGAAAGAAACAGGAGTTTTACTGAGACTGTTTAGAACTAGATCTTGAATAAATCACTTTAGGTAAGTGGAGGAAAGTCTCTAGAATGGAAAAAGTCTCTAGAATGTTTCTCAAGACAGAGAAACACCATCAGATGGCCATCACAGAGAAGAATTTTCTAGATGAGAAATGATCAAGCCATGAAATTTGCTGAGGCTCAAGAACACAAGCCGAGAGCCTGGAGTTGTAGGGGCAGGTCTGTATTCCTACTCGGCGGGAGGTGGAGGCAGGATTCAAATCCATCCTCAGCTACAAAATGAGTCTGAGGTCAGTCCAAATTACATGAGATTGTCTCAAATGAAGTAAAACTACAAGAGAATATGAAAGGAGAATTCTCTGGTGCACCATGGTGAACTTTGAAAACACACGTGCTGAAAACTGAGGAGGGACGGGATTCCAGCTGGATGATTCTGTTTACACACAGCCTGGAAACAAACCAGGCAAAACCAGGCTCCAGCTTCTGAAATCAGAATTGGGCTGTAGTTCAGAAAGGCTGGGTTTCTTTCAGTGTTCGAGCACTTCCTGGGTAGGTTTCACTTTGTGAAAAGCCATCAAGTTACCACAGCCCAAATACGTCTGTGTATCCATGTTATTCCCCAATAAAAAAACTCATTAAAAGCAAATGAGCTGAAATCTAGCGAAACAACAGCTCTTTGACCTACCTTTCTACTCATAAAATTTATTATAGAACAAATTGCAAAATGTAAAAAGACTGCTTAAAAGGAAAAATATTTTTTAAAAGTAGCACACTGATTAAATATAATGCTACCACCAGGTGAAGTAATATGGTAGATCAGAATATTATGTTAATGAGGGAAAATACAACATGTGCAAATGTAAAGCAGTTACAGAAGCATATATAACCTAGCTAAACTTTAACTGAAGTGTACAGAGGCTGGAAATAGATCTGAAAGCAGTTTAATGATGTGCACTGAGAGAGAAGAGCCCTTGGTAAGTAGTAACAAACATTGTATGGCGCAGCCATGCAGGGCAGGATGATATAAAGAGTCAATAGAAGTAACCAGCCTCATGTCTCCAAGATGTGCACTTCCTTGGGTCTTGTAAGCGTCTAGTATTTTCTCAAAAATGAATTGACATTCTGAAATTCACCAAGGAAAAGTGACAAAAACAACCAAGAGCAGAACATGAAATATTCTCAAACCACATGGTAGTTTGACTTCTGAGGACGCAAACAAGGTAACTATACATTAAATTCCCTTAAGTTGTCAATTTTAGACCTAAAGTTTATTTCATTTTTTCTAATCTTGGTAAACTTTAGAACACAGAATGAAAGTAAAAGCAAGTGGAATAGCATGGCCCAGATTCCAACAGCATCTTCCTTCTTGTTTGTGATGGTTGATTAAAAATTTTGAGTGGGGGTATTCTAAAGTAGCAGAGGTATAACAACATATTGCCATATGTTTCTGCTATTGAG